CCCCCCCCTCCAAAGCGTCGGCCCCCCCTTTGCCCCATGACCACCCCGGATTAGGGCGGGGGGCAATGTGCATCCCCTTGATTGTGAGAGGTACCTATGCTTGAAGGGGTCCTGTGTATAGACTTAGAAGCAGGTTTTTTTTTCCTTTCGCCTTTGTTTTATTTTATTTTTAAAATTTATTTTTTTCTTTTTTGTCTTTGAAAATTTTAGTGGAAGGAGGCGGGTAGTGAAAAGTGAAATTGAACAAAAAAAAGGAAAAAAAAAGGTGAAATTGAGAGAAGAATTTGGCAGATAGTTTTTTAATTTTCTAATTTTGATTTTTATTTGTTGAGGACAATCAAATGGTGTATTTCCTAACGTAATTATGTCCGTCACGATTTTAACTCATTATCCGTTTTATTAATAATTACAAAAAAAAAGGTTTTTGGTAGGACCGGAGGGGCTGGTCCACGATAAAAAAAAATAAATCAATTTCTCAAAAAACAAAAAAGATTCAGGCAAAAAAAATCTCAAGCTGAGATGCGTCATGTGAAAATAAATTCTTGGCGGGTAAATATTTGACCGAATTCGGTTTTTCAAGTTTGACTGTTTGTCCGTGCACCCGGGCACGGAGTTTGTGCCCGGACACACGCCCGGCCCACTGAGCTGGTGCGATTTTTTCCGATTTATTCGATTCGAAAAATGACATGTTTTTTTTTTTTTTTTTTTTTTTTGCCTTCTTTTTCTTCGGGGCCGGGCGGGGGAGGACAACCGGGCAGAGTTCCGGGCGTCTCCAGCCCAAAATAAATAAATAAATAAATAAATGAAAAATCTGAGAAAAAAACTATGTTGTGTACAATTACAATGCAAATAACTTTTGGCGGAAGGTTACCTTAGAATTCCTTATTGAATCGAAGATAAAAAACACAAATACCCCCGGCCCCCCGCGGCCCCCCCACCCCCGGTTATAAACCCCTTTATGCCCCAGGAAAGCAGATTTATATCCTCCATTCCCCCCATCAACAGCAAAAGCACTGGAAAACAGAAAAAGGCCTTGATGTGCAGTGCTATTAGCAGGCACATAAGACCCCGCGAATTAAAAAGAAAAAGAAAAAATAAATCCCACAGTTTTTACATGCCTGAGGTACCCGGGCAGGGCTTCCCTGGTACTCTAGACATCGAGCATTTTTTTTTGTTTAAATGATGACCAAAAGTTTTGGTTTTCCAAGTTCCTGACCTTTGCATTTGCATGTCATAAGGATGATCGACCTCGTTAGACAGGGGCTGAAACAACCCCCCCCCCCCCCCCCCCCCCCCCCCCCCCAAACAAAAAAAAAAAAAAAAGAGAAAAGACGAGGGCTGCAATGACAATGCCTATACCATCTGCTGTCACAGTGCCTGGGTGTTCCTGGCATGTGGGAGCCAGGTTGGCTGTGACAGCTGTCTGCACTGCACTATTCAACACCGTGGCTGCAACTGAGGAAACTAGATGGGGCCAAAAAATAAATAAATAAAATAAAATTGGATGGGGTGCTAGGCTACCGGAGTGGCCCCGGGTCGCTTGCCCGGCCGGGCCAAAAAATAATAATAAAAAAAAGAACATTTTATTTTTTATTCTAAATTTGGTGAAGAATTTAGATGTGACCCTGAGGCAAAAGTTGTTCACTTTATTTTTCTGCATAACATAGTTTTTTCTCGTTTTTTTTTTTTTTTTTTTTTTTGCTGGGACCTTCCCTGGTCCTTGCACGGGCTGGCCACCCGGGACCCGGGCGGCCCGGCTGGTAGCCTAGATGAGGTGGGAAAAAAAAAAATGGAAATGGATGGGGTGTTTAACCCCGAAGGGCCACACCCAAACTGGTCCTGTCTGTCGTGCAGGGGTGGGAACTTAGTGTAATAGGAAATACCTGCTGCTCAGCTCATGCTTCGCTGCAACCCGACCACTGACTGGCCTTTTTTGTGCGAGTCTCTAGCATTCTGCTCTGCGCACGAGTCTTCAGGACTCGATGAGTTTTTTTTTTTTTTTTTTTTTTTTTTTTTT